CATTTTATTCACTATTTTAGACACTGCTTGCCCTGGGTGAGCAAATGTTGCAAGGCTCATGTAGATTACTCCAGTTTTGGCAATGCACATCAATGGTCTCATCTTCAGCAGCCAATAGGAGCTGCAAGTGCTCAACACCTTTTTTAAAAAGCTATAAGCTACCAACATGTACAGGGAAATGAACTCTTGTGAATAAACACTTTCACTTTATAGTTTTATCATATTCTCTTACATCAATAGGCTCTCAACTTTATAGCTCCAGCAGTACAAAGGGGCTGGAAACTGGCCAGTTACCCTTTTCTTCCAGCCTCAGCTTACAGGGTGTGCCAGAAGCTATATTGTGTTTCAACTAGTCTTAGCTAGCTGACAGCTCCTTGGAGGATGTTAACAGCTGCCATTGTTTAGGGAAGACCCCAGGCTGTTCTAAACTATGTTGCGGTGAATGGAGAAGAAAAAAAAATATCAGGAAGTTGTGTTTGCTCCTTTGTGACCCTATCCTTGCTGTAGTGCATGGAGATTGGGTGTAGTAGAGAATTTGGATCTTAGTTTTGTCAAGCTTAGCAATTTATAGTTAAAAATCTATTTATCTGGTGTATTTAAGGTATTTTCTTACATATTGCAACATTTCCAATTTAATTTAACATTCTAGAACTTCTACTTGGTGGTGGTGGTGGGAGGGAATTTGGGCCTGCACAAGCTATGAGCTTCCACATCCAGCACTTTATAATTCCTGGAAGAGGAGATTAGAACTAGAGTAACCAAGTTCAAGTTCCCTCATAAATGTTTCATTGAGTGACTTTAAACAAGAATAGTGGTTGGCTAATTAATAAGAACTATTAGTAAGAACAGAAATAATAGTTTACTTTACTGTACTGATTGTATCATGACCAGTGGAACTGGATTCAGAGGGCCCATGTTCCATAGAGCAGAAACTGTTTATTGTAATTCAAATCAATCCATTTCAACCCACACATTCCTAGTATATGCACCATTCTTTAGAATTCACAGTGGCTACACATAATTTAATTTTAACAAGGCAATTCTATAGTGCCCAGAGTATTAAATTGTTAGGTCAACTAGATATACGTCAACAGTTGCTTTTAACCTTAAAACTAAATACTGAGGCCTGGTCTACAGTAGGAATTTACATTTATGTCTCTCCAGGCTGTGAAAAATCCACATCCTGGAGAGACATAGCTATAGCGGACTAGCACCCTGGTGAAGACAGTGGTAGGTTGATGGAATTCTGTGGGAGGTGGGGAGGCTGCAGCTGGCCTCTGGAGGGTAGGAGGTGTGAGTGCCTGGGCTGGGGAGGGCCCCACAGCTGGGCTCTGAGTGGGAGGGAGTGTGAGTGTCTGGTCCCCTAGCTGGGCTCTGGGGGCAGAGGATGCAGAGAAATAAGAACTGGGCTGTCATAGGATTTCTTTAACTCTCTACACTTGGGGAAATTTGTATGTGTCTGTATTGTTACAGACATGTTTGCAGATAAGTATTTGGACACAAATTACCAAAATAATTGAAACTGGAGTGATTATATTGTCAGGTTTCAGAGTAACAGCCGTGTTAGTCTGTATTCGCAAAAATGAAGTGAGCTGTAGCTCACGAAAGCTTATGCTCAAATAAATTGGTTAGTCTCTAAGGTGCCACAAGTACTCCTTTTCTTTTTGATTATATTGTGTTATTTTGACAAATAACATTTGCAGAATTTTGTAGAATTTTAATACTGTGCACAGATATTTTAACTTTTTGATGCAGAATTCCCCCAGGAGTACTCTCAGGGAGGTGGATTACCTACACCAATGCATTTTAAGTGCAACTATATCTTTAGTGACATAAGTTCAATCACTTCAGTGCCTGTAGAGAATCTAAAACAGGAGACTCCAGGTTTCTCATTTTATTTTATTTTTTTAAATGTAGAGCTCATGAAAGGTACTGGAGATTGAAATATTGTTAATTCCCACAACAGATGCAGAATAGGTAGCACAAGTGTAAGTAAGCATCTGCACAAAACTCTGCTAGTCCGCCTCATTCCTAGTCTGGAAGGTCCAGCTATAGGGGTGAAAAATGATCCCTGTCCATTCAATGCCCTTGTTGGGGTCCTAATGTGATGCAAACAAATGCCCACTAAGAACTAAACTGAGGCAATCTTTTATTTCATATAAGGCTACTCAACCTCCAAAATAGTCATGGCGAGGGCCCTACCAAATTCATAGGCATGAAAAACGTGTCACAGACCGTGAAAGCTGGTCTTTTGTGTGCTTTTACTTTATACCATACAGATTTCACTGGGGGAGACGAGTTTCTTAATATGGGGGTCCTGACGCAAAAGGTAGTTGCAGGAGGGCCACAAGGTTATTTTAGGGGTTGCGGTATTGCCCCCCTTACTTCTACACTGCCTGCAGAGTTGGGCGGCTGGAGAGTGGTGGCTGTCGGCTGGGCGCTCAGCTCTGAAGGCAGCACTCCACCAGCACCAGCAGCGCAGAAGTAAGGGTGGCAATATCATACTATGCCACTATTATTTTGGTGTCGCTACCTTCAGAGCTGGGCGGCTGGAGATTGGCAGCTGCTGACCGAGGGCACAGCTCTGCAGACATCAGCGCAAAAGTAAGGGTGGCAATACCATACCAGGCCATCCTTACTTCTGTGCTGCTGGTGGTGGCTCTGCCTTCAGAGTCGGGCTCCTGGCCAGTAGCCGCTGCTCTGCAGCTGCCCAGCTCTGAAGGCAGTGCCTCTGCCAGCAGCAGCGCAGCAGTAAGAGTAGCTGTCTGTGCTGCAGTGTTGAAGGTTCATGTTTCAAACCCTGATGATCATGCATTATGGGGAGGTTGTTACAATTATACATAAATGGTTTTTACTTTTGCATACAAAAGGAAATTATATATAAAAATTGGTGTTAAAAGACCTTCCCGCTTTCCCCCCCTAACCTTGTGACACCCCCTACCCAACTCCTTTTTGGATCAGGACCCCTACAATTACACCACCATGAAATTTCAGATTTAAATAGCTGAAATCATGAAATTTACAATTTTATGGTATGCTATGACCTGAAATTGACCAAAATGGACCGTGAATTTGGTAGGACCCCAGTCATGGCTGTTGGTCACTATGCACCTGAGCTGAATTTTTGCTTATGTTCTAGACGTGAAACGCTCCATATGTTCTAAATTATATATTCTAACTGTTAAAAGTTATCTATCTACGGTAGGTTGCAAAGTCAAACACTCAAAAGTTAGGAAGTGCCAGATTTACCGTTGTCTGTTCAACTTTAATTCATCCCCCTCTGCATCTAACCTGTGCACTGAATGAAATAGGTGTTCTGAGACAAAAAATAGTACATGATGATGAAGTTAAAGACTAACATAATACATATGCAGAAGGGAGATGGATGCTTCAGAATGCTTGAAAAAATAATATTCTTTTAACAGATTTTTATATGTAATTTCCTAGTTTTTTTGGTGTGCAAATCTAAAACCCATTTATGTATAACTGTAACAACTTCCCCATAATGAATGATCATCAGGGTTTGAAACATGAACCTTTAACACTTCAGCACAGACATATACCACTTAAACCACAGGACTAACCACATTAGCTGGCAGCAGGCTGTTAACCCAGATAGAGGACGGGAACTATGTGCTATGTCCAGAATATAGCTGGCTCTCTCTCCCCCGCCACCCTAGGAGCCATCAGAGCCATCTCACTAGAGGTAATGGGCTGCTGGGTCCATATAATATAGGAGCCCAGCTTGGATTTCTTTATCTTGGGAGTTTGAGGAACTCCTGCTCCATGTAGTACCCCTTCCTACACCCCTCTCCTCCCACCAAAAGCTTCTGTGGCAGCTCTCAGGGGGTTTCAGCAGTATTGCCTACTAATATGATAGTGTTAGCCTGGTCTGGAGCGTACTGTGATTTTGAGAGGCTGCCAAATTTTTCCCAAGAAAGAAAAAGGAAATAGTGTTTAACACCGTACAAATCAGGTCTTTTCTACACACAAAAGTTGAACATTTGGGGCCTGCAGAAATACATATAAAGAAAAGACATAACCTTCCTCCTAAACATTCTTTTGGCTGGCAAATAGAAGTGCCAGCTTTCTGAAGGTTAATGCTTCACTGAAAGACTTAATTAAATTTGTCTTTCATGTGAAGACATTACATATTCTTGCAGCAATATATATTTCGTTTGCTGGCTTTGAAGTTCTTCCAGTAAAAAGGCAGTTGAACATTTTTCCAGCACACAAACTTTTAAGCATTTCTATACTGTATGATTAATTTATTCGAGCTTTATAGCAGCAGCTACATTTTGTGCAGAATTCAGAGTTTCCAAAGTGAATGGCAAAAAATCAGGGGCCAGTACTCGTTCAGAACTAAATTGACAGTTGGGATCAGCCAGAAGCTGGAGGTGCTAGGGAGCTACTACTTTCCCTAGCATGCTGTTGAATAGTGGAATTCCTAGAAGAGATCAACTCAGGAGTTAATGCTGCTCGAAGCAATATTCACTCCCCTCCCCCACCTTCTACAGTTCTGAGCTGCAATGGGGAAGGGCAATAATTTTTTAACAATGGCACAATAAGAAACGAATTTAACATTTTTTTTCTTAATACTCTGTTTTACATTAGGAGACTACAAAACAACTTGACTTTGTGATATTTCTAATTCAGTCAGTTGAAAGAGCTTGCGCTACTGGTTAGCTTTGTGTTAAGAGATTTTCATTCCTTTTATATTTCGTGTAATACAAGTGGTCATTATCTTAAACAGAGCCATTGCACCAAATAAGTCAAACACAAAAAATTTGGCAGCATTAAACATTATTCATTCAGCAATTCTTTATGCAAGTGTCAGACTAGAAGCTCTCCAGCCTGTGTTTATTCCTTCCATTGCTGGGAAAACAAAAAGCTCAATCTGGAGCTTGAATTTAGAACTTAATATAATACTTGCAAGACCTGAACTATTTGGCATTTTCTTTACTTCAGTCTTCACTGAATAAAGATTTCCTTAATCAGGGTTTCCATGTTAACAGTTCTATAGGTTTTAATAAAGTTACTTTTCTACACAACATTTGAATATGACAATCTTCTCCTACAAGCTGGGGAAGTAATCAGATAATTACGGTGCTGTGGAATCAATTATCCTGAAGTCATTCCCTCTCAGAAAAAATTCACTATTATCTAAATTGCACACCTCAAAATATTCACTTTATTACACAATAAAATGTTTCTTTATCTTTAGAGATCTTTATATAAAAATGACCTTCCAAATTCATGCTTGTTTGAATCTATTTCAAAAGTATGAAAACTGCATATTTCTAAATCTTTCCCTTATGTTTTTGATACTACATCCTCAAAGTAACTCAGATTTCTCAGTAAGCATTTCCATAAATTGTTGGCCCTCTTCAAGAATTTCACTGTTTTGAAAATTACTTTCAGAGATCTTGTGTATAAGAAACAGACCATGCTTTGCAGATGACAGACTGGGGATAAGATGAACAGTAGCATAAACCTTTTTGCTATTTGACACTTGACATATTTTTCCTTCTAAAAATGAGGTAACTTGTGCCATTTCTGTTTAAGAAAGCATAGCTAGGAATATGAAAACTTTAGTTATGTAAACAGTGGTCTAGCTGAGCTAATTCAAAAATGAACATTAAAAGCCTACATATATATGTTCACTTTTTATAAGTAGGTTACATTTTCATTATGTATAGTTCAAAGTAAACAGAACAAAATGTCAAATATATGCTAAGTAACAAAGAAAAAATTTGTTTGTCCATCTATATTTTCAACAGTTAAAAATAAGTGGAGTTGGTACTATTCTGTTCTGCTCCAAACCTAGTACTTAAGGTTTTTTTGGAGGGTTTCAGACCCAAGGATACAACAATAAAATATAATCCTTAATATCATTACATAGTTTCTATTTAACTAGTGTTGCTGTAACAAAAGGAACTTAAAAATCAAGTTTTACATTTCAAGGCTCACTATCATGAATCCCTGAGTCCACTACCACTGCATCCAGATTTAGTGTCTGCATTTTAAATGGATGTTTCAAATTAGAGGGTTCAGACTGAGGCTCAAGAGTTGCAAGTGGCTCTTTAATGTGTGTTGCAAAGAGCAGCAGGAGACACATTAAAACATGTGATTTAATTATTAACCAGTCTAAGTTATTAAGCAGTCAGGATGCTTTTACTATGTTATTAACCAATTGTGGTTGATAAAATAATACTTACTCATTTTACTGTAAGAGTGTGTGTGTGTGTGTATTACACATATAAAGAATTCACACTACTGTGGCACTTTTGGGTAATGTTGATTGCTAACTTGGCTCCTGAACCACTGAGGTCTGAGTAATACTGCTCTATAAATTTGTTTTAAGTTTAGTAAAATAACCTTTATGTGTCTATAATTAATAGCATTTTATTTGAGTGGCCTGAATGAGAAAAAAACTGCTCAATGCCAAATAAAAAGATAAATGATTGCCTGTGTTAATCATGTTCTTCTCTAAAAAAGCTGTTACAAAGCAAATAAAATAAGATATATAATCCAGTGGATTTATTTTTTAGTTGCTGATCATATTCTATTTTTATAGTAAATTTCATACTGAAAATCCCAGAACACTTACATGTTGAGAGCAGCAGTGGTTTTTCCCAAGTGAATTATTCAGTCCAGGAACAGGGGTTGCTGGATCAAAATAAACAGGACTACTGATACTCTTAATGTTAAGCATAGGCCAGGTCACAACATTCCAATCCTACAAGCAGATATGCTAGAGCGGACTCCTCTTTCTATGTTAAGTCCCATATACTTCACAGTCTCAGATCTGGGGTGAAGGGGTGATCAATAAGGTAACCACAGCATAAACCATATTATATAGAGTTAATATAAGTCTATACTTCTCATCCTTCTTTCAGAAAGGCAATACTGAGGTCCTCTTTGTGATTGCTGAAAACCCAAAGGCATAAATTTAAGGGTGGGGCCCTCCATGTTCTGGCCCAATCCCAGTGCAGGGATCTCTACTTCCATTGCAGTTTTGGTTAGAAAAGGTACTCATTTCCTGTCCTAAGTTGTAGTGTAATACTGCTGTGTTGTTTAACACTTGCTGACTTCTACTGGTGAAGTATCCCTGTATATGGTTTATATAAGTTTAAGGACTTAACTTTGCAAGTACACGTGCCAGTATGGAAAGGACCCTTTGGCAAATACCTCTAACTACAAAGTTATCAGCATCAATGGAACTCTGCCAAGTGTAAGGAGTCTGCATTACTGTATCTACCTGGAGGATGATTTCATCCCTTTTTCCTGAAATCTGATGCATTTTTCTACCTGTTACTTGTGTATCATTTATGAGTTTGATTCCACTACAAAAGTGTTTATGAACAAATTTCCAGGTGTCTTGTTTTCTGGAAGTATATATTTCTTCCAGTAAACTAGCGGCACTGCAATAATAGTTAAAAGAAAAATCTGTATTTTACAAATTTCATTCACTGCAGAACTCCCAATTCTAAACTTAAACGGAAATACTGCAGAGAAACAAAATCATTATAAATCAAGTGTTACTGAACTGCAAAAATAAGTTCTTTCACTTCTGAGAATTATACCTTTTCAAATAAATACAGCTAACCAATATATCAATTTTTTGGAGAGCTGTATTTGACAATGCAGTACATGCTGTCATACTTAGAGCCACATAGTGTAGAACTGTGGAATTACAGTATTTTGACTTTGTACCTTTCATGTACTACAAAAGGCTAAAAAAAAGTAGTACCACTGAACGTTTTTTAAATGAACTCATTTTTTCCACTCAAGACACAAACAACCAGCAAGCCCTTCAGTCCCACAATCTGGGATAGCATAATTCAACAAATTATACCAATGTAAAGATATTTTAATCCAACCAAATTAAAGGTTTTTAATTTGCTATCCATGCTAAATACAAGTTCAGTACTGTAGTCTGGTCTTAATTATAAACAGCGTTATCCTGAAGATTATTGCAATATTTAATAACGACCACTGATGTTTGCTTACCAACATACAGGCCTAATATAGCTATCTCAAGGGAGAAAATACTTATGCAGTATTTAGACACAGTGAAACCATTTAGTGCTATAAAACTAACTTGTCAGATTTAAGACTATTTATTGCAACTTGGTTCTGCCATGTGCTGAGTATCTGTCAAATCACATTGACTTTAATGTAAGCTGAGGGCACTCCAACCCTTGCTAGTGGCTCAGGATCTTGCCCAATAAAGCTACAGCCTTTCAACAAGAATGTCCTTTTTTTTTTTTTTTTTAAGTCAAATAGTGCTAATTGTTAGAGAAAAATTCAGTGATTACTTATAATTCCTCAAATAGATAAATGTTCAATAGGAGTTGAGGGTGTTCAAGACGTTGCATGATTGGGCTCTAAGGCCAAGATTCCTATAATCAGATATCCGAAGTGGACCACAGCAACTCACTGCAGTTAATTCAAGTTATAATTAAAGGGCTGCCCATAAGTTGAGTTCTAACAGTTATATTTAAAGAACAAGAACAAAAACAAACAAAAAAAAAATTTGGGGCCATGCCTTGCCTGACAACTGAGTATTATTTGTATGTAAAAATTACACTATTACTCTTGAAAGCCCCCCCAAAAACCCCTCCTTAATTGGGTTTCAGATTCTGAAGATTCCCTCCCTTTCCCCTCCGCTAAACTTTTTTTCCAAACTATAAACTCCAGGAAATACTGAATTACTGTTTGATCACCTCAATTCTGAGCACCTTTAATAAATATAGATAAATAGGTTAAATAAAATTGGGAAATAACAAAGTTAACTTTTTCCAACCATCACTACCTTCAAAAAGGTCAAAGTCCTGCCTCTAATTAGATCTTTTATTTCCAAAAGATAATGTTTTATACATACCTGTTTTTAAAAACATCTACGTGAGAACAACAGATTGTGAGATTGTAATGCAAGCCATTTATCTATTGCCAAAAGGATTCCTGGGGAAGCTATGGACTTAATTCTGCAAACCTTACTCATGCAAGTAAGGGTTTGCAGCGTGAGGTCCAAATGATCCCAATGCTGATTCATTAGAAAACAATAAATCAGACGCTCCAGCTTTAATTAATAGCATATAAACCAGCACAGAGCACAACTTTCTGGAGCTCACATGATAGGGATCTGAAGTAGTGCATTTAAAGAAATGTTAAAAGCATGGCACATACAGCTTCACACCTTGACCTGCAGTTTCCGTCATGTCTAAAGAGATATTGTCAATTCAGTTTTTTTTTTAGTTTCCATTTCTGATAGAACAGTATTAAATATTGCCAAATTCAGTCAAATGGCTGGACTCATGACGAAGACAGATCCACATCTAGTATTCTTCCCATCCCTACTACAATCTACTCCTTTTTACATCAGTAAGGTATGGCCCCTGGGTTCCTGACTTAGTTGTCAACATAGCCCTTTCAGATGGGCAAGCCTTGGATAGCTGATTGAAAAGTATAGGTATTCTTTATAATAATAAATATAATAACCTAACACGTTGCTTCCCATACTTTGTAGTATTGTTTGCAAGCACATAACTTAAAACAGGAAATGTGACATTTTAGTGTTTTTTCCCCCTCTTAATTTATTATCCTTTTTTGTACATTCACCAAAAGGCAAAGAAACTCATCTGCTTTAAAATACCTAATCAGCAGCTTTCAGGAACCAAATTAGAGAATTTTATATTAGTTTGTTGTGCTCTTGGAGATCCAGAGTGTAGTTTGTACAAACAATGGTCAACCCCAACCTATAGTATACCCATCATCATCATCATCACCACAGCAAGTGCAAATATATATGACTATCCAGTAGAGTGTGTTGAACAAAACCAGACACCTTAAAAAATATTGTCCTCAAAAAGTTAAATTGCATGCCATGGCACATCTGCTTGCAGTATTTGGAAAGGAAGTGCCATGACTGTCATTTTAGTCTTATTATGCTATGAGGGAAGGGTGGAGTGAGCTATCATCATCAATCCTCTTCAGAACTGGATTCCTCCTCTTGGTCAGAGAGCTCAGAAACAGGGAAACGCAGGATAGCTGCTACCCCTGTCAGCTGGCCAAGCTGCTCCCCAGACACATGGAGGCTGGAGAATATGCGCACTGTGCCCATGTTCTCCCGCACACTATCTACCAGCCGCACATATCGGCTGCGAGAAGCCACATCCTGGTGCCTGAAGAGCTCATCACTGATCAACAGGGTATCAATGGCCATGGCCTCATTGGCTTTTTCCACATGTTTGAGGCCATAAAAAGCACGGTCAGGCTCATGTTGCAGCATCTTGTAGAAGTCATCCAAGGCTTTGACCTCACCAGCTGCTTTGGTGTCAGAGAGACGGCTGGCCACAGCTGGGTCACAAAGAGCTTCCTTCAGCGCATATTTATGTCCCGAGGAGGAGTGGACCTACAATAATAAATGTTATAGATAGAAGAAAAAGTGGATCATTTAGTCCATGCTGATTACTTAGTCTTATATGTTTCACTTGTGAACTGAAATTTTCCATCGTCAGTCTTTTTATCAAGGTGAATTTTTTTCAGAAATATTGAACAAAATCTCTTCAGCTACCTCTGAATTTAGCAAGGATACAAAAAAATGCTTCCATCGTTCAAGATTTGTTTTAAACATTCTGGGATCTTAAGCACTGGCCTAGAGCAAAAAACATCTGAAACTAGACAGAGTAATTCTCAACAGGAACTAGTGCTTTTGCTACATTTGAAAAAAAAAAAAAAAAAAAAAAAAAAAAAAAAAAAAAAAAAAAGATGGGTTGTTTTTCTCTCTAAAGTTACATCTCTGAAATGATATACCAACTGTTCAAAAAAACAACAACCTGCTACGGCTACAGATATATGCTTCAGAAGAGGCATGCATTGCACATGCTGCAGATGCTTTTCAGTAGTGATTGGACCCTGCTCCTCATGCTGGTCATCACTGCAAATCAGATAATACCTGATACATATCCATGTTAAAACACTGAGTTAAAACGAATGCCCGTTTCATACTTCTGAAGCTATTTTTAATGCACTGGGACCTCCAAAGGCTTGGAAGCTTGATTTTGGATTAAAGACCTGCTTAATCTAGGAAGCCAGAAGTAGTAAACTCAGGAAGCCAAGAAGATCTGGATTTTCTTATTTTTTTCATCCTCCTTTAAAAAATACCCGAGAAGTCAGATGAAAAATAATTAGTAAATGAAACCTTAAGGTCATGCAGACAGCAAAACGCGAAGAGAAACAAATATTAAGGTTTTCAACAGCAATGTTAATTCAGCCCTGCCAGTTACAGGTATGTTTTCATTTGCTTTTTTCACAGCAGCATTAAATTTGTCATTAAACACTCATGATTAGGGCCCTACCAAATTCACGGCCATGAAAAACGCGTCACGGACTGTGAAATCTGGACTCCCACTGTGAATTCTGGTCTTTTTCTACCTTACACTATATAGATTTCACGGGGGAGACCAGCATTTCTCAAATTGGGGGGCCTGGCCCAAAAGGGAGTTGCGGGGGGGGGGAGTCACACGGTTATTTGGGGGTGGGGGATCACGTGGTATTGCCACCCTTACCTCGGTGGTATGGTATGGTTTTGGTATGCCACCCTAACTTCTGTGCTGCCTTCAGAACTGGGTGGCCGGAGAGCAGCAGCTGGTGGCTGGGCACCCAGCTCTGAAGGCAGCACAGAAGTCAGGGTGGCATACCAAAACCATACCATACCACCCTTACTTCTGTGCTGCTGCCTTCAGAGCTGGGCGGCCACAGAGTGTCAGCTACTGAGGATACAGCTTTGCAGGTAGCAGTGCAGAAGTAAGGGTAGCAATACCATACCATGCCATCCTTACCTTTGCACTGCTGCATTTAATTATCTACTGCTTTATCTAGTCTAGATTTAAATGTCCCAAACAAAAGGACACCTACATTCCTTACTAGCCCATCATTTAAGATCTCACAAAAAATAAATTTCTCTTGATGTTCAGCCTAAGTTTTCTTTGTGTTAATGTCACTTTACTTATAACACCTTCTTGTCACACTGTATAACTCTTCACTCTTTTTGGATTTCCCAGTTTAAGGGTTACTTATCTACTTTACCTGAAGGAATTTGGACCGGTTCTCTAGCAGCAGCTTGTTGTCAGTCTTGACTGCCTGCTGGAACATGTAGTCACAGAATTGTTCTCTTACGAACCCCGGGCTGGCCACCAGAACACATTTCACAATCTCAAAGTTGATATGACGCTGGATTGCCTGCACCACCTGCTCATAGAATCTCTCCAGTGCTCGGTCATGTTGACTGCAATTACCCTTTCGTTTTCTGGGGATGTTCACTTCAATCTTAGCCCGGGTCAGTGTCATGCTGGGGGTAACAAGACAGATATGAGCCAGCCCCTCCTGCATGACCACAGCTGCCACGTCAGCGCTCCAGCTTGGGTCGCAGGCCTGCTCAATGCGCTCCAGCACCACACTGTCCCACTGCTTCTTGGCTAGCGTGAACTGGCGATTGGGCTCCAGCTCGATGGTGTGGTAGGCTCCCATCTTGACGTACTCATTCTCCTGGATGTTGGTCCCCTTGACCCGCAGCTGGCAGGCCTGCGAGTCGAAGTCGATGGTCTCCACGCAGAGAGTGAGGGTGGTGCGGATGCGGTTGCTGCCCACGCTGCCCGTGGCAGACTCGGTCTGCACCTTGCGGATGGTGGATGCCCGCAGGCTGTCGCCCACCTGCAGCAGATTGTAGGTGTGCCATATGTCCTCGGGATCCTCGGGGATCAGGGTCACCTGCCCCGCGTTATCCTTCTCGATGTCCTTCCTCACCAGCTTCATCCTGCCGCTGCCCGGCCTGCCCCTCTCTGATCTCACCGGGAAACGGGGATAGCACGGCGCCCCGCACTCGGGACAGGCGCTAGCTCCTCAGCCTACGCACGGGCCGCCCTGGGCCTCACACGGCCTGGCGGCCCTGCGTCCTCTCAGCGGGACGGGGACGGGGTCAGCGCTGGCCCACACAGCGGGGACAGAAGCCTCTCGGAGGGGACACGTGGCACGAGGCCGGCCGGCTCTAGGCCCGGGGCACAGGGCGGGGGTGGTGCTGCCCGGCGCCGGACCCCTCCCGCGAAGGGGCTGATCGCTCCGCCGAACCGCGCTGATCCGAGCGGCGCTTGACGACACTGTGCAGTCAGTCAGTGAGGAGCAGCGGCGACACCGGGACGCGCCTGCGCACTGGCTGGTGACAGGACGCAGCACACTCAAAAGCAGCCGGCGACAGCATAGTTTCCGCGCGTACGCACCAGCTCCTTCACACAGCGCATGCGTACACTGCCGACCCGGAGCGGAGACGTTGAGATTACTTCCGGCGCATTCATGGTAAGCTGGCTCAGGGAGCCCGCGGCGAGTCCTATTCACGCATGCGCACAGAAAAGCCGGGCGCCGCCGACGCCGATTGCACCCCCATCGCGCGCGCCTTTAGCGCATGCGCGGAATGTGCCCGGGCCGTGACGGGGGAGCCAGGGTTGGGGTGGACAGTCGGGGCTGGATGCGGCTGCTGCTGCTGCCGAGGCAGAGACGGCGGCGGCGGCCGCTGTCCGGAGAGAAGCGGGATCGGGGTGGCGCACGTGGCCCTCTCACCGTTGTTGTGAGCGGGGCTGCGCTTGCCCTCCAGGCGGCTCGTGGCCCAGCCCCTGCTCCCAGGCTGCGCTGTCCCTGCCCAGCCGCCGCCCTCTGCCCCGAGCAGTTCCTGACGCAGTCAGTGTGGGCCGGGCCAGGACTGCGGGCAGGCAGCGAGGTGGAGCATCTCCAGCTGGAGCCTCTCTCGCCCTGCTTGACAGCCGGGCCCGCCTGGGTGCACGGCCTTGCTCTGTTACACTTCCCTTTGGCACAAAGCTAGAGTAACACCTTGGTCAGTCGGGCCCACACATATAGCCATTGGCTAGCTCTTCCATTTAATAGTGATTAGTAATAATATCTACATTTTATACAGCGCTTAACCATCAATAGCTCTCAGAGCACTTTACAAAGGAGGTTAGTATCCTTACCCCATTTCACAGATGGGGAAACTGAGGTGCAGAGCAGAGAATTGCCCAAGGTTACTCAGCAGTTCAGTGGCAGAGCACCCAAGGCTCCTGAGTGCAGTTCTTGGGCTCCCACAAGCTGCCAGATTTACAGTTCCCATAACAAGCCAAATTTGAAGAGTAAGTAAGTTAGATATGAAGCTAGATTTATGACTTGTGTTATACAAGAGGTCAGATGACATGATCACACTGCCCCTTCTGGCCTTGGAATTCATGAAGGATAAAACTCTTGGGAAATGTTAAAAAGCAGTATTGTGCCAGGTAGACCAGGGGTTTTCAACCTTTTTTCTTAGGTGGACCCCTAAAAAATTTCAAATGGAGATAGGACTCCTTTGGAAATCTTAGGTATAGTCTGCAGACCTCCTCAGCAGTCTAGAGACCACAGGTTGAAAGCCACTGTGCTAGAGGAAGCAAGATAAGAAACTATGTTAAGTGCAGGTTTCAGAGTAGCAGCCGTGTTAGTCTGTATTCACAAAAAGAAAAGGAGTACTTGTGGCACCTTAGAGCCTAACCAATTTATTTGAAATTAAGCTTTCATGAGCTGTAGCTCACAAAAGCTTAAACTCAAATAAATTGGTTAGGCTCTAAGGTGCCACAAGTACTCCTTTTTATATTAAGTGCAGATCATTCACATAAGAATTTCTCTGTGAAAAAAATATCAGGGTTAGTAAAAGTTAGAAAATAAAAACTAACTGTCTTGGTTCTTTTCCCCATGTAGATGCACCGTGTAGCACTATGTATATACTGAAAAAGTTGCAGAAGGAATTGGGGCATTTTTTCAACAGTAGTATTGGAAAAATTAAGGAACTTTTTCCTAGCATGGGATTTTTTAAAAAAGTACTTAATTCTATTATATCTTGAATTCTAAAGGTTGTTATGATAGAGGCAATCAAATGGACTCAAGTAATTGAGAAACTCAGGCCCTGAGACGCTGAACGTACTCCTCTCATTTAAGGCCTTGTCTACGTGGAAAATGGAACTGAAATTAGAGGTGCAGTTTGCACTTTCAGGTATTTCAGTGCAGGCCTTAGTAGAAAACTCTTATTTTGGAATCGTTTGTTTATGTAAAAAATTAATTCTTAGCAAGTAACAAGACCAGTCTTTTAGTTATACAAAAAGGGTAGAGGCCTGGAATCCTTTGAAAAAAGGAATCTGAGAAGCAATCACATTAAGGCAGAGAAACCTGGAAGGAACAGAAAGGAAAAATGTAACAATGATTGCTAGTATCCCTGTGGGCAACAACCATCCAAGAAGTGAGGATGGGGTCTCAATTTCTTCCTCTTTATACTGCTAGTGGAGAGGATTACATGTTGCACTTCTCTAATGGGGGTGGCAGGGAACATACTTTTTCTGTGCATTTGGGAGGTCTGGGGCTATGCTTGATAGACACAATGGAGTCAAAACATTAGTTTAATCGTAAAAAAAAGGAGTAGTTAATGCTGAAAGTGAAATTAAAACCACAAACTGAAAGGGCATATAAGTGAGCCAGGTTGTCTTTTCCTGTTACTAATCTTTTTTCTGTTCTGTCAAGAGCAGGCATGGAAGCATCTAACAAAGTTTTAAAAACCATAAGGTATTTGGAAGGAAAATATCAGAGGTACACGAATTGGAGAGATAGCTAATCCAACACAAAATAAGCAATGTGGACAGGCTCTAATTGATTGTCTTCCATCCCTATGATTTCTTATGTTCTTGTAATCTAGATTTATATTCATACAATGAACAGATAGATATTAGGGAACAGATACTTATTTTTGTCGTGGGGAAAGCATAGTCCACATCTACTCTGAGGCTTATGTTATGTGATATTGTATATGCATCTAGTGGCTAACATAACAGTGCACAGTCAATGCTCTTTATAGAAATCACAGCATATGTATACTATAGCAATATTGATAGTAAGGATATGGGCCAGAATTTTCAGACGTGTGCTCCTAAATTATGCATTCTGATCAGCTGCATAAATATTAAAGAATCAAGTTAAATATTTTAAGAATGAAACTAATACAACTTCAATAGACAAACACATTTTAGCCTGTTTTGTCAACTTCAGATATTCTACCAACATCTAAAGTTAGCCATTCATATGTCACTATTCACTTGTTCCAAGATCTCTGTGATAAATACTAATGCTCTCATTATTTAATTAAAAAATTAACATACAGGGATCTCTGAAGAACAGAAAAAGATCAAACTGGTAGGTCCCATATTCTACAAATCTTTACTCACCTGAATAGCCCTATAGAAGCAAAGGGGACAACATGCGTGAGTAAGGGTTACTTCCCTAGGTAGATTTTGGAAGATTTCTAAACTATTGTTCCAGATGATTGAAGGGTAGCAAATATTGTATTTGTGTATAAAATGGTTCTGGGGAGTATTACAGACCTGGAAGCCTTACCCTGTACCTGGCAAATTGGATGAACAATTGAAAATCAAATAATAAAACACTTGAAGTTCATGATATGATAGCATCTAGCCAACAGGGTTTCTGCTAAGGAAAATAATCATTAATCTCTTAGACAGCATCATTAAAGTAGTAGATAAAGAAAAACCACTTGACTGTTTAGATTTATCAAAAGACTTTTAACAAGGTCCCTCAGAAAAGACTATTAGAGTAGCTAAGTAGTCATGGGATGGGCAATGAAGTAATGTCATGGATCAAACAATCCTGTAAATAGTTAAGCATTTGAGTATCTTTTTAATAAAAAGAAAAGGAGTACTTGTGGCACCTTAGAGTGCTCACGAAAGCTTATGCTCAAATAAATTGGTTAGTCTCTAAGGTGCCACAAGTACTCCTTTTCTTTTTGCAAATACAGACTAACACGGCTGTTACTCTGAAACCTATCTTTTTTATGTGAGTAATCCCATTCAAGTCAATGGGCCAGATCCTCACCTGGTTTAAACTTTGAAGACCTAGGACAGTTTCCATAACTGAGGATCTGGTCTCTTGCAACTACTTGCTTGTGTAAAATTAAGCACAAGCATAATGATTGTAGAATTGAACTCAGTAATTTAAACAGTTTCCCTGTTATTTTGTGTAGGTCCTTTTTGTGGAAGACATGGGAGAGAAATATTTTTTTAAAAAATAGAAAATTGTGATTGTAAAACCATAAACTGGCAGGGAGACTAAAGAGCAGGACAAAAATTGACAGGTATTTTACCAGAAACTATTTTTAACTGATTTTAAAAAACAAACAAACTAGATTTCAAGTTGAGAGTGTCTCTTTAAGCAGAATTTAAATTTTAAATAAAGCAATAGTAAACTCTGACTTCCCAACATATCAAATTATTTTGCCTGTTTCTGCAGCATAGGGTGACAATTTAAAACAGAAGTTGCAGTATTAAGATAAAAAAAGTTAATGAGAGGTGCAAAAGTCAGGAGTTCTGCTTAAAATCTGAAGTTACAATGTGACAATTGAACTTCATATGTGGTAAGCAATCTCTTGAACACAGAGATCAATACAGCCTAGTTCATTAAGAGCTTTTGGAAGCAGTAAATTGCTTCTTATAATAGTTTTGTATAAAAATATACTACAAGCAGGGTATTGCACCCATGGCCTGATCCTGCATCCACTGAGCTCAAGAATGTGTTGTTCATTGTAATGGGCAAAAGTTTTAGCCCCTGGAGAGATAAATATTATCTCAGTAAGTTTGAGGAACACATAGCTGAGTTGTGTGGCACCAGAAACCTGGTCCTGATCCCAATGAGACATTGAGACTTATGCCTTTGACTTCAGTAGGGCAGGATCCTATGACCAAGGAGACATCTGCTAAGTACCCATTACTATGCATTACATTTTTCATCAATCAATTTTATTTTTAAAAATTTCAGAAAATTCAAAAATACCAAGAGCTCAATTGGAAATGTGAAGGATTATATGTTGTCTCCCATTCATTCTCAGAGAGAGAGAGAGACAGATTTGTATGTGTAGGACCTATGAGCTCTTGCTACGCTCACTGCCCCACCCCTACCTTTTCTAGCTTTCTGTTTTGTTTTCCTAGATAATTTAAAGGGGTCTATTTTCTTTTTAAATATAGCAGTTCAGTTCTTGATTTTCAAGCTCTGAGCAGTACAATAAATAAAGGTGTGTATAGTGTATGTTAACATGATTTTCTGAAGTTTCCTCTTTTTGATTAGATAATATCTTGTTTGCAGTTGAGTCACTCAGCTCTCCTTAGTCAAACCAAAGTTGCACCATCACCTTGTTTTTCGTTGCTTATCTTAGATCAGAACCTGTATGAAGAGTAGCTCTGGCTAAAGCAGAATCCAGACAAGACTGAGGTGACACTGGTAGGAAGAAGGGATGTGACCAGTATATCTTGGACTTGTGAACTCGCAACAGTCCAGAAGAAGACAGGGGGCTCTGAATGGGAAAGAGGTCTCTGAATGCAAAAAGCTGTGGGGAGAGCAGCTGAGAAATGATGGGAGAGAAATTGTTATGGACAAGAGGAAAAGAACAGAGAAGAGGTAGTGAAGGCATAAGAAAAGAAGGGATGGGATAGTTCTGTTATATCACTTTCAGCCTGTGTTTAGCTTGTCTATGTGGATTGTAAATTCTTCTGGATAGGGACTATCTGATACTCTGTGTTTTCACTTCTACTCTGTGTAGCCCATTCTTGGTTGGTCCTTAGGAACTATGATAAACATGGTTAATAAATAATAATTCATTAATGTGCCCATGAAGAGAGAGAGCTCCAGTAGAGAGAAGGCTCAGGGGCTGTGTAGAAACAGATTGAGAGTGAGTGCGGGTGAAAGTTGAGGAAGCCTCATTGTTTTGATATTAAAATAATCTTTGTGTATGCAATGGTATTATAATTGTCAAAGATTAGGCAATTAAAGTTAAGATACTAGCACTATTAATTTGTCCACATTGTACACACGTGAAAGAACCTTAACTTTTGCAGTTCTTGACTTCATTTAAATTTGCACTTTTCTTGCTGAACCATCTGAAGCCAATACAAGTGTTAATTTTTCAGTTCCAGATGGAAAAGGAGTCCAGAGATAAGTATTTCAAACTGCTGTTGCTGCATATCCTCCCTCCACAAAGAAACAGCACCATCACTTACACAAAACTGAGCATAAGGATTTGGAAAAGGATCATATAATAGTTTAGGAGATCATTATAATAACATGATATACATTTGCAAAGTGCTACCTGTCAACTGCCTGGTAAACCTAGTTTGCTACACTTGTTCAGGTTTCTACACGAATCTCATTTCAGAACAATCCCAAAGTGAAGAAAAGAGTTAAAAAACACTTTCAACAATATAAATATTATCCTTCCCCGCCACCCCCTGTCTCTCTCCATTTAGATGATTTATATAAAGCTTATTTCTTCTTGCTTATTGGTTAATTTCAGACGTTCTCAGCTCAATTATTTTGGCTTGCTCACACTGTAAGAAAACCGTACCCCAGAGAGCCAAATTCCACAGTTGTGTGAATGTTTGCATTTCCTCAACTCATTTCCATTTCCTTGAATTTTCTCTCTACAAATGCTTTAGCCACAAATCCCACAACATATCAGAAATTGTTGTCCATACTTGAAGCGCTGCCCCCCCCCCCTTTTTTTTTTTGGCAAAACAAAAGAAATCCCCAACAACATTAAGACCTTACATGGAAACACTCCATGCTTAATGGGCTGAGCTACCGTCCCTGTAACCTTTTTTCTCTCTCTCCCACAGTCACTCTGAACAGTTAACATTGCCCTTCGCAGTCAACCATATCAGAAACCAAGAAAAAAAGTTCACATTCATAAATGTTGTTCCTACATACCCCACCCTTCGCCCAACAGCTTCTACTTGTATTGTTCTCGTGTCCCATCCCTCCTGCTTTTTGAGTATTTTCCCTAGATCCTAGGGTGTAAAGGAGACTGACGCCCGGCGAGGAAAAGTTTCTTAAAAACCCACTCCCAAGAGCCGTCTTAAACCGGGGCACTCTGAGCGGAGTGAGGTTGCTGGGGATGATGGATGCAGAGATTTGAAGCGACTCTGGGATGCCATATCCTGAGAGATTCATCCTCCCCAAGAAGGGAGCCTCCCTGCAGAGGAGCGAGACTTGGCAGATCTGGGTCTTCAGAGAAGAGGGAAAGAGAGAAGAGTTCTCTCACCTGTCAGAATCCCGCATGGGACAGCGACCCCTGGGCTTCTGCTACGGAGGGGCTGGGAGCCCATGGCTGCAGTGGCAAGGATAGCCCGTGAAGGAGCACAGGGCCGGGGGGGCAGCAGATCCCCTGGGCTAGCTCGGTCGTTCACACGCTGCCTGTTAGGGAGAACAGCTCAGTGCGCTGCAACTGCCTCTGGTCCCCTCTGCATCAGCAGCCGGGCTAGGCATTTCCTGTTTGTTGTTTCAGTCCCTTTAAGTTTTCTCTTCTCATCAAGAGGAGTTGCGCCCCCCTCACACCCTCGCCCTCCCCCCCGCAACCCCAAACGGTCTCTGAGCCTTTGAAACCCCCACGTGGCAGGATCCCAGAGCGGAGAGACATGCACAAATAAAGTCAGATCTCAGTGTTTAGGCTAAAGTCTGCAGGGAGCAAAGCAAACCTTAAAGGGACATATGCACTTTTATAATTCATGGGTGTCTCCTACCGGCCAACCCGCACCCCAGATGGGAGTGGGAGGGCAGTAGGAGAGAGCTGGATGTCCGGCTCTGGATTACAACTGGCGTGTCATTGGTCTCCTGCCCCTTCCTTCCCTCAGCATATGAAACAAATCAAAGAGATGAAGAGAAGTGCGTTAAATCCAGATTACAAGACACTTCCAGGCTGAGAGCGGCTTTTGTTGGGCTAGTTTTATTTCACTTACGTCACTCTAAAAGTGTGTACGTGCTGTACCACAGTCCTAAAGCCGGTCACTTGCTCCTAGGAGAAAATCGGGGAAATTTCCCCCTTCCCCACCAAACTACGTGTTGCCGGGATCTAAATTTTCAGTGGCTTCCCAGACAGAGGATGCATGAATTTCCTCATGCTCTCTGCATTTGCACGTGCTTTGCATTATCATTCAAGCACAAGACAAAAATTACCTCTGCCCACAACTTCCAAACTTTTTTGTGATCCCTTCCATTCTCCCTCAGGAATTTCACAAATTAATCACTGAATAAACCCTATGAATAATGCTGAGCTAACTTCAGGGTGAGCAGTGTCTATGTTCAGGATATTTTAAACTCAACTGCAAATGTGCCTGGCAATTTTTATTCTTTTCTGATGTTCCAGAGATGTATCCAGTTTGTGTTACATTCCTTTCAAAACAATTGATCTGAGATTCATCTTTGAACATACTACCAAGTTATTGTATTACTCTTTACAAAACAAAGGAAATTGAGATGGTGCAGTGCTGCACTATGGCAAGGAAATAGAGTTCAAAACATGATCTCAAGTACTTACAGATTGTGGGTCATTACTGAATTCTCCTCCCCTTTTTGAACTGGAGCCAGGACTTCAGTGAATTTTCTTCAGTTCCTCTGAGGCTAATAAAATAAGGCTACTAATGACCATTAGCCCTAGTTAAAATGTGTTTTCTATTTCTGCCTTAAGTGTTATGAGAACACCTGAACATAATTCTTATATGTAAAGTCTGTGGAAATACAGATTTTTAGAAGATTGAACATATTTAGAGCTGAATTTATCAATGTGGGTCTGATCCTGTGAAAATGTGTGCACGTGTTTAACTTTGAACATTGAGTAGTCCTGTTTACTTCAATGCTACTACCCTCAGTTCATAAAGTTTAGCAAGTACTGTATAGAAGTCTTTGCAGGATCAGGACCTTATATACTGTTGGTGCCCATGTAAGAGGCCAAATATAAAACTTTTTCTCCAGATGTAAGAGTTATGCATAAAATTGAACCAAACCAATGCTAATCTTGAGCAATAAAAAAAAGTGAGTTTATGCAAAAGTTATAATTTAGTATTTTTCCTCATGAAATCTTACAAATGTCTGATTGCATCTTATCAATTAGAAGGAAGAGATTAGTTCTGCATGTTTTCTGCAAGACAAATATTTACCTTTTAAAGATTTTTTTTTTATTGCCTTATCTTCACACATAAACAAAATAACTGTGGGGGAGCATCTCTCGTTTTTACAGTATATCAAAATACTTATTTCCATTGTATAACTAACTGTTCCAGGCACAATTCAAAAGAAAGAAAGGCCATTTCAAATATTACTATACTACATCTGTGATCTTCTGTACACGTGGAAAATGTACATACTGGCTGAGAGTAAGACTCACTCTTTGGGATTAGAAATAACCCTGATAAGGTTATTCATAATTGACTATGAATTATTATAATCAGTATTTATTTGTATTGTGGTAGCATCCCAAGTATCTCATAAGGGCTACTGTCAGTGATAGGATACTGAACTAGATGGACCATTGGACTGATTAGGTATATTCCTGTGTACACAGGAGAATTTGAACCATATGACATCACATTTAGGACAAGCCAAAATTATTTCCTAGTTCAAACAAAGGAAATGAATATTCAGATCCATAATGAAGCCCAATTCATGCCTCCTTGTGGTTGGAATAGTTATTTTACACGATTCTACAGTAAGTGCCAATTTTGCTAGATACATTCCCCAGTGGAGAGAGCTGAGAAGTCCTAGCTAAACACTCTTTATGAATTTTTAAAAACTTTTACTTTAGTGATAGTTAATAGGTATATGTGGAAGTACCTGCTTGATATGTGGGTATTTTGAGTTGCTTGGGTGTTTAGTAGGTTGGTGTTATGCTCTTCACTCATAGGGACCATTGCCTAATGGTTAGGGCTTAGGTCCTTCAACCTTCAAAGGGAGTTTTGGTAGGGGAACCCAGGCCCTCCCACTGTACTGGGCTCCAGTCCAGGGCCCTATGAGAGCAACAAAAGGGTCCAGCACCCAGAAGCACCTTAAGGCTGCCCTTCCTGGGCCACTTCCTGCCACCCCTCTATTGTCCGTGTTTACAGTCTGTACAGGAAAGCGTGAAGGGGGTCAGTTCACTACATGGTGGCTCTTCATGGCCAGGCAGGGAATGGTAACTTTCTTCCTCTGGAAGTGACGGCTGCCTTCTCTCATGCCTTGTCCCTCCAGCCAGGTTAGTTCCAAATCTCTCCTCTTCAGGGGTAGCCCATAAACAAAAGGAGGAGAATTAACACAAATAAACTGAGTCCACATGACAGAGATGGGGGAAATGCCTCCCTCAGTCTCAGGGTATACCTGAAGCAGGTCCTCCCTTCCCTCAGGGGAGGATCTTTCGGCAGTTGTTGTAGGGAGAGATCCTGCATTCCCTCAGTTCTTCTCTCAGGTGCTGCAAGTTACAAGTCTGCTCTCTTCCCTGTTGTGCCCACAAATGAGCTGTTCTGCTCCCTTGAGATTCCTCGTTCTGCCTGTGCACCTCTTGCAGGTGTGGTGGGGCCAACCAGGATGAGCCAGAGCAGCTCCTTAACTCCTTGTTGCCCATCACAGTTAGGTATTTTTTTATATCAGAACATCACCCTATCAAATGCTGACAGATTCAGTGGATCAGAGTAGCTCAGTAAAAAAAATCTCATATATTGTGTTGGCTGGAAAAGAAAGTAAAAGCTAATTTTAAAATAATCTCAAGGTCTTGTAAATTCTTTGGCTCTCTTGTAAAATGTCATAAAAATATCCATGGAGGATTTTTTTTTATAAAGTAGTATAAAGTGAGAACTATTTGTCTTTAGCAGAACTCCTCTGTCAGTCCCTGATACAGCGAAGTACTTCAAACACATTTGTAGTCCCTTTGAAGCCAAATGAGCATACTCAAGTGCTTACAGGTATGCAGATAGGGGTGCTTAGTGTTATGCTAGATAGGGGTCTGAGAGGAAACAAAATGGTAAAAAACTCAAAAGGGGACTGAATCTTCTCCCTGTGGATAGAAGTCATGCCCACTGAAACCAAAGGGAGTGATTCCCATCTAGTGAGTGGTGGATGAAAGAACAAGGCCAAAGCTTTAAAAATACTGTGCAGATTCACATGGTCTTCTAAATAGAGTGACTTACCCGACTGGTCATATGTGGGATCCACGTTCCATGGGCCCTCTTTTTCGTTGTGGGATATGAGCAACTTCCATTAACTTTCCAAGGAGCTATTCACTTCCTGTAGTGGGAAAAGACAGCTGCTAATTGGTAGCACACAGCGAACACCACAAGACTGCAGCTTCAAATTGTCAGAAGTGGACTGAGCATGGACTTCCATTAGATGGATAGTTTAATAACATCAGTAATTCTCCGGGGGGCATGATATTGATATTTACCTATGTTCCAGTTATGTCCATCACTGAGGAGATCACCACACTATCTTTATGTTCAATACTTGCAAGACACCACATGTTCAAATGTGACTATATAGTTTCTGTCTGTCTTCATTACTTGTAGCCCTTATTATCTCTATTGATTTTATTATGTTGTAGATGTAATTAAGCTTCCATTTGTATTTTGTTACATCCCATTAATACATTTGCTTATTCATAGTCTTCGAAATGTCGTTCAGTTTGGTTTGTTCTGTTGTCCATATTCGTGCTCTCCAGCTTTTCCATCTGACTCTAGGACCATATCCGAATTCATCTGACACATTATGTCTGAAAGGTTCAAGGGCTCCTTCACGAAGAACACGGAGTAAGACCTTGCAGGATCTAGGATAGTTCCAGCACTACACTGTGCTTTTAATTGATGCTTGATTGTGAGGATCCATGGGTCCTGAACGCGCAGGGCTGGCTCTACCTTTTTTGCTGCCTCAAGTGGCGAAGGAAAATGCCACCGAAGAGGGAGCCAGAGGAGGACCTGCCGCAGGCATTCCACCGAAGAGGGAGGCGGAGGAGCTGCCACTGGCGTGCCTCCGAAATCCACCGCTGTGCAACGCTTTCCCGTTTGCCACCCCAGACACCTGCTTGCTAGGCTGGTGCCTAGAACCAGCCTGTGAATGTGGGTCTGTGACAACCTTTGCATTCTGGCCTCTATCCAGCAGCTTGTTAATAACTGGTGGGCCAAGTGGCTAGTGGAACCCTAGCTCAACCTAAGGCACTGCCTTTGGGAGTCTTTACTGGAGGACAGCCAACCCCACCAATTGGTCTGGTTGCACTATTTAATCCAGAAGGAGACACAGGAAGTTGTGTGTGTAACTGGGTGAATTCCTGGCTTTCTGCTACATCAGACCCTACCTTCCTGTCTCCACCACATTCAAACATCTCATCAGTGTCAGGACATCATGGACCAGTATGTATCTTAGCACTATACTTGTTTTCTTGGACAACCCTGAGCAACACACCATACATGTCTGAACTGTTCTGGAGAGACTTTACCAACATGGCCTCTGTGCTGTGCCAAGTTGGAGAAATGTGCTTTTGACCATGCATACATAGAGTTTCTGGAGTTTATCA